CACTCCGGTGAGAAGCGCCCAGAGCGCAGGGCACATCTCGAGTCCCCCCCAGACTGCCCACATCCGGCCTCGCCGCGGGTGCCCAGCCGCTGGGCGTCCGCATCTGGGCCCCACCGAACCGAGGCCCCAGCGGCCACCGCTGCCGGGCCCTGGGTGTGGACTCGGGCGCTGATCCACGCAGCTGGACTGGGATCCAAGGTCCCTGCGGGAGCCGCCCGAGCCCGGCGGAGGGGTGGGCATGAAGCGAAGGCAGCGGGTGTCTGTGCTTGTCCAGCAAGGTCGCCCTGGGTCTTCGCTGGGTCAGGCCCGTTATTACCTGCCTGTAATCTTTTAAAATTCACACTTCTAAAGAAAACCACACGTTTAAGAAAAATAACCACAAAACAAAAATAAAGTAACACATTCCAAAGGAGCAAGTTTGTAAAATACCCGAAAAGGGATAATTTGAAGGGAAGTGGGAGGGATGTGTCTTAAGTCGCTGTCTCAAAACCCGATTTGAGCCCCGAGCTCACAGGGCTTTGAAATGATCCGAAACGAAAAGTCCACACTTGACATCGAAATTTTCGTAAAGGAAGGCGCCACAGAGACCAGCTTCTCCAACGAGAAAGTAACTCGGCGGTCCCTGGGAGATGTGACCTGCGAGCGTGAGGACCCCGAGATTTTCCGCTTAGAAGGCAGGACAGAGGTCGCCAGTCTCGAATCCACGCACTAGGCGCAAGAGCAGAGCGCAGGCCGAAGCCGGACGCCGCGTTCCCGGCGCTGCCAATCCGAGATCGAGCGGATGCGGGCGCCGCCACCGCCTGCGGGCCCCGCGCCGGGGGCCATCAGAACTGAAGGCTTCCCGGAGCAAAGGGGGGAGAGGAGGATGCCCCGCGTGCGGGGCGCCGAAGCTGCGTTGCGCGTGCTCGGGAAGGCGGCCTGAGCGGGGCGCCGGGCGCGGGGCTGCACGGGGCCCCCCAGGGCCCGGAGGCCCGTCGGGGCTCGGTTTCCCGCTCTGTGGACCGGGAGGAAGTGTGGGACTCCCCGTAGGCAGCTGCTGGGCGACTGCCCTCGGAGGTGAGCCGACTGGTCCAGAAGCAACCTACCCTCCATTCCCGCCCCACGCCGTTTTGCCGCATAAGATCCAAACCCGCGGCCAGTGGGAGAGGAGACGCCAGGACACGGGCGGGGGTCGGGTGGGGGCCGGAGGGGAGTTGGTCCCAGGACCCTCCAGGCGGTGCAGAAACACCACCGCGGGCCGCCGATCTCGCCCAGGCCTGCGCACTCGAGTCTCAGCTTCCCCGGCTGCACTTAGGACCCCTAAGGCGAACGACTCCAGAATCCCACCGGGAGCCTCCGGGGGCGGAGGCGGCTTGGCTGGCGGAGGGGGAGAGTCTGGAACCTGCGCACCCGGGCTGAGGGGATTGGTTAGGGAGGGAGGTAACCCCCTTCCCCGCGTCTCCCCTGCAGCGCGGCTGTGGGGTCCGGAAGGGCAGAGCAGTGGGGGAATGGGGCCCAGCCGGCGTCGGGGCGGCGCCGGGACCCCCCCTGCCACCCGAAGCCCCTCGCCGCCCGCCGCCGGGAGAGGGTGGCTGGCCTCGGGCGCTGAGGTCACCTTTTCCACTGCGCCCGCCGCGAGCGGACGGTTTCCGGGATTTTCGCGGCGGCGGCGGCGGCTGGAGGCCCCAGCCGGGTCCCAGGCATTGGCCGGGCTGCTGCGCCCCTGGGGTGGGGGCTGCGAGGCTCGGACCGGGAGGAGGGACCCGCTGGGAACCCTTTGCCGGCTAACAACGCTGCGGTTCCCGAGCAGAGGAGGCCCAGCCGCTGCGCGCGCGCATTGTTTTCGCCTAAAAGGGGTTTATCTTCGGGTCTGCTTTGGGATCGTGCCGCGCGGGGAGACCTCGTCCGGTGGAGGGAGGTCAGAGGCCTTCCCGCCTGGGGGTGGTCTGAGGGGGTGATGGGCCGGGCTCCCTCAGTACTTTGCGCCGGCCGAGGCCTCCGACTGCTTCCCGAAGGGCATTCTCCATAGAGCCCCCGGGCCTCATTCCCCGCGCTGCAGACCTCGCTGGGCCATTGAGAAAGAGTCCTGGCGGGTGTCCAAAGAGCTGGGGGAGGCTCTCTGGGCCTTGGCACCTGTGAAATGAGGTGCGGGCTGGGCTGCGCTGGTCTTTTGACTCCCCCAAATCTAGAGATGAGGTCTAACCCTGAAAATGACCTTCTTTCCCCAAAACCTGACCGAGGAGGCCAACTGGGGGCCACACGGGTTTGGTGAGGGCTGCTCAATACCCAATATGACTCCCAACGGGTCTTCATCTAAAGAACCTGAGACCCCACCCCCCCCAATAGCAATTGAATGGGGAAGAGGTGTTCAAAGCTGGGCAGCTTCCATCAGGGGCCCAAATAGGAGTGAAGGGATGGAATGGGGGTGGCTGGGCCTAACCCTCCAACGAAAACACCTCCAGGCTATGCCCTTGGAAAGACCCCGAAGCAGGGAGGAGGAGGAGATGGAGGAGGAGGGGGAGGCGGCAGGGGCCAGCGGGCCCTACAGGGGTGGGGGGAGCTGAGAGGGGGAGGGTGTGATGCTGATATATGCAGGGAGCAACAGCAAACCAGCCCTGCCCCCTCGGCCTCTGGACCAGTGCAGTCCAGGGCTGCCCAGCGCTGCACGAGACACTGGCTTTTCTCTCCTGCACTGGTGGCAGCGTGGCCCCACCCACCATCGTACCACCTCTCACTGGGAGGGAGGCCTGCTCATGTGGGATACTGTCATTCTCAGTGGGTCCCACACTGTCCCCTTCCAAACAACCACCATGTGACTCACAGGACCATCCACACGTGGAGCACCTGGAGGCCACCTTTCAGACCTGATGATGGCTGTTATGTTCAGGAAGGGGCAGCCCTAGAAAAAGTCACTCAGCCACTGTGGGGGGAGGCAGCTGGGATCTTAGAGCCTCTGGTAAGACATTCTCTTTGTCCCTATGGACAAAGAGTCTTGGCCATCTCCTACTTCATGAAGGGTCTAGGGCAGGTGCCAGGGCTTGGAACTGGCCTCAGGATCTCATTGTCAGCAGCTGGAGCTAGAGAGATTGCATCAACTTTCAGAGAGTAGGGCCATGGGTATGGTAGGCCCTATTTCCCAGAAGCAAACACAGAGGACGTCAGAGTTCACATAGTGGGAGAAGTGGTCCAGGACCTCGGCAATGGGATGGGAGAGGAGGGCTGCCACTCTCCCCAGCCTCCCAGAGACACTCATCCACCCCACTGACAACCCACCCTCCTTGCCCAGACAAACTGTGTACTCCTCCCCAGCAGACCTGTGGGGCACAGGGGTGCAGGACCTCCTATTCAGTCATCAGAGCCTCCCTGGAGCCCTGCAGCAGCAGCTCCTCAGGACAGGTCAGGAGGCTGAAGCCCAGAAGGGGCAGTGGCTTGCCAGGAGTAGCAGAGCCAAGGAGAGAGAGACTCAGCAGAGATCTGGGGAGATTGTTCACCCCACAGCCTGGGTTTATATTTCTGCAGCGACGAAGGGGAGCCAGGGAAGGCTGGACCTCCCTCAATCATATGGGGGGACTCTAAAGTCTCAGAGACCAGTAGGGCGACGCCAGAGTTTGTCTCCAGACTCCCACTGCACCCTGTGGCCCCTCATCCAGCTCAGCCCTGTGCTCTTACTCTAAAGCTGGGAAAAGGTGGAGCTGCCGCATTTCCTTCCTGGGCATCCATCTCTTCCTCTAAGTAGGGGGACAGAACCCACCCCACAGGAGGGGGATCTCCAAGGAGGATGTGCCCCTGCATCTCTTGGCAATATAAGCAAATCCCGGCTGGAGAACCTCTCAGGGCAGCTCAGGACAGATGAGGCCATGTCTGGTAAACTGAGGCGGGAGTGCGCAGGTGCGGCCGCTGCTCTGAGAGTTGCACCCCTGCCTGCTGCTGCACCCCACCCTGGCGGGTGACTCTGAGCGCGGGCCAGGAGGCTGCGCGTGGCTACTCCTCTCCCAGCCAAGCTGCGCGGCCTCTGCCTCTCCTCCCCCGACCTCTCCAGGGCTCCCTAACCTCTGGCCAGGCCGCTGCCTTCCTAGCTGTCCCCGGTCTTTCTTTACTGCCCCTTGCCCAGCCCTGCCTGCCTCTGTGCCCTCCGGCACGTCGCGGCCGGCTGGCTCCCGCGCTGCCGTCGGCCTCTCTGTGCTCACGCCTCGGCGTCTGTGGCACCCTCTCATCACTGTCTCGCGTCTTGTGTGGCCTCGCTGTTTCGCGCCCACCCCTCTCTCACCTCTCTCTCGAACCCTCCGCTCCCATCCCTGGGGGTCTGGTCTCCGAGCTCTCCCGCTCTCTCCTTCCTGGGCGTGCGCTCCGCTGGGTCCCCTCGGTCTCGTCGGCCCGCCCCTCTCGCGGCCCCCTCCCTCCCGCCTCCTTCCCCTCTCCGGCCTCCCTCGGGCTCGGCCTGGGGGGTGGGGGCGGCGGCGCGGGGCGGGGCGGCCGGGCGGGG